AAAAGCAGAGACATTACTTTGTTGACAAAGGTCCCTCTAGTCAAAGCTTTGGTTTTTCCAATAGTCACATACAGATGTGGGAGTTGGACCATAAAGAAGGCAAGTGATGAAGAACTGATGTTTTCAAACTGTGGTGTTGGAGAAGACCCTTGAGAGTCCCATTGGACTGCGAGGAGATCTAACCAGTCAATCCTAAAGGATATCAACCCTGAATATTCATTGGAAAGACTGATGCTGAAGCTCCAATACTTTGGCCCCCTGACGCAAAGAGGCACCTCATTAGACTCTGATGCTGGCAAAGACTGAGAGCAGGTGAAGGCGGCGACAGGATGAGAAGGTTGGATGGCAGCATCGACTCAACGGACATGAGTCTGAGCAAACCCTGGGAGGTAGTGAAGTGTAGGGAAGCGAGATGTGCTGCAGTCCATGGGTCACAAAGAGTCGGACATGACTGAGCGACAACGTCAACAACCGGGAAGGGGTCAGATGTCCCGTGGCTCTGCTGTGGGAGGGCGTTTTTCCTGATCTTCTCAACTAGGGCTAACCTCTACAATTCCAAGGTTTCGCTGTGGTTATATTTCCACCTCCCTCTGTGGGGCCACTTTCCCACTTTCTCTCAGGGGCACGATGCCAATGCCTGGCCATGCAAGGCAGGTGACGGGCTCTGTTCTCAGGCCAGCCCCAGGTCAGGTGGACAGACCCAGACTTTCCTTGGCCAGCAAAGCTCAGCTCCGGTCTGTTCCCGAGCCCTGGAATCTGAAATCAGCAACTACGTGCTTCTGAGATTGAAAACAGCTGGCAGCTACCAAGTTCAAGTTCACCCCACTGCAGCCCTTATAAACTGACCTCATTTTAAAATGAAACAAACTGCAATGGTGGTGCTGGGTTTGCAGCGCATACCAGGCAAACACGCCGTCCCAGGGTCGGGAGCCCCAGGTGAGCACCACCTCCAGTTTTTGAACTTCCTCTAAATCAAAGTCACCAAATACAACTCATTCAGGGTTGTGATTCTGCTGAAAGGGGGCTGCTGCTGCTGCTGCTGCTAAGTCGCTTAAGTCGTGTCCGACTCTGTGCGACCCCATAGACGGCAGTCCACCAGGCTCCACTGTCCCTGGGATTCTCCAGGCAAGAAGACTGGAGTGGGTTGCCATTTCCTTCTCCGATGCATGGAAGTGAAAAGTGGAAATGAAGTCGCTCAGTCATGTCCGACTCACAGCGACCCCATGGACTGCAGCCTACCAGGCTCCTCCGTCCATGGGATTTTCCAGGCAAGAGTACTGGAGTGCGGTGCCATTGCCTTCTCTGGAAAGGGGGCTAGGCTGAGCCAGATCCCTGCAGGGAGCCCTGGCACGTGACCGGACGTCCCCCTCAAAGACCCCTAGCTCACCCCAGAGGCTCCTGCTTCTCAGCTCCACCCCACACCTGGGCAGGGAGCCCCTGCCCAACAAACCCACTGAGAAATGGACTCAAACCCGAGGAGGGGGCAGGGGGGTTCCGGAGAGAAGCCCTGCAGGCCAGACTGCCTCCTCCTGAGAGGTGGCTGGATCATCTACCCAGGAGCCTCCCAGGCTGCTACAGATTCCAGGCAATCAGGGCCTCCAGCTATGCCTTCCCCGCCGCCTCCACCCTCCTGCTTGGCACGCTGACCGGGCTGGCCCCCCAGGCAGACGCGTCCTGAACTCTGCCCTCAGTCAGGCCCAAGGAGACCCAGCGGAGGAAGAGGGCACCAGCAGGCCCGTCCTCGGGGATCCCCAGCCCCCTGTGTGAAGCAGCAGGGGGCTCAGAGCAGGTGTTGTGGGCGCGTCCCTTCCTGCTCCCCCCTCCCCAGCCCTTGGACCCCTCACGTCCAAAGGAGGCCACGCCAGGCGGGGGCGCGTCCTTCGGGCCTATCGTCTCCCTCAAAGAGCTTTGTGAACGGGTGGTGCCCCAGCCTCGAAGCCTGAGACCCTGTGGGAGCCCAGAGGGCGTGGAGGACTATGGCCTGGCTCGGGGGGCACAGCAAGGAGTGGAGGGTCTGTCTTCCTGACCCTCTGGGTGGCGGTTCCTGCCCCCTGCCTGTTCTGACTGAGGCTGGTCATAGCTTTTCTTCCAAGGAGCGAGCAAACCCCAGTCTCGTGCGTTGCAGGCAGATTCTTTGCCACTGAGCCACCTGGGAAGTGCCCTGAGAATCACAGTCACTCCGGACACTTAGTGCCAGGGGACCGAGCCCCCCCGCGGGGCGTGGAGCTGTGGCCGTCGCGGCCGCCTGGGAACAGAGCCCCGAGGGCCTCCCCCCACTGGGCACCGGGGCGCCCGCCAGGCCTGTGGGCTTCCTCAGGTGCGTCCGTCCTCTTCTACATGCCGCACAACGAGCCCACTCCACTTCACACTCATGAAAGAGTAACCAAGCCACAGAAGTTACTGTGGAAAGTCAGACTGCAATGGACTCTTAGCTCTAGAGAGGATGCTGGGCACCCGCCTGGGCGCCCAGAAGTCTGAGCCTCAAGGCGGGCCTTTCTTGTCGCCGGCTGTCCACGCCGCCAGGCACACCTGCCGTCTCGAGGGGTGGTGGTCCTGCCTCAGGGTGACCAGGGCTGCAGCCAGGGCTGGGGGCTGGGACCCTAGGCCCAGACGGCGAGAATTTCTGAGCCTGGCTGGTCTTCGCCCACTGCCTACTCCAAACCCCGCTCCCCCAGGGCCTGTTCTCACAGGAGGCCCTGATTTCCAAGGAGGCTCCCGCATTTATTACTGTAACATCAGGGCTCAGTGTATATCCTGTTTACATGTGTGGTTCTCACCTTTTTGAGTGTTCAGAATTTTTTTCACTTTTGTTTTCCCTTAATTAGTCTCAGCAAAAGGTAACAACATTGGTCTTTTCAGAGAACTAGTTTTGGGGGACTTCCCTGGTGATCCAGTGATTAGGACTTGGTGCTGTCACTGCTGTGGCCTGGGTTCAATTCCTGGTTGGGAAACCAAGATCTCTCAAGCTGTACCAGTTCAGTTCAGTCACTCAGTCGTGTCCGACTCTTTGTGACCCCGTGGACTGCAGCATTCCAGGCTTCCCTGTCCATCACCAACTCCAGGAGCTTGCTCAAACTCATGTCCATTGAGTCGGTGATGCTATCCAACCACCTCATCCTCTGTCATCCCCTTCTTCTCCTGCCTTCAATTTTTCTAGCATCAGGGTCTTTTCCAATGAGTCAGTTCTTTGTATCAGGTGGCCAAAGTATTGGAGCTTCAGCTTCAACATCAGTCCTTCCAATGAATATTCAGGACTGATTTCATTTAGGATTGACTAGTTTGATCTCCTTGCAGTCGAAGGGACTCTCAAGAGTCTTCTACACTGCAGTTCAAAAGCATCAATTCTTCGGCGCTCAGATTTCTTTATAATCCAACTCTCACATCTATACATGACTACTGGAAAAACCATAGCTTTGACTAGATGGACCTTTGTCGGCAAAGTAATGTCTTTGCTTTTTAACATGCTGTCTAGGTTGGTCATAGCTTTTCTTCCAAGGACCAAGCGTCTTTTAATTTCATGACTGCAGTCACTATCTGCAGTGATTTTGGAGCCCTAAAAAATAAAATCGGTCACTGTTTCCATTGTTTCCCCATCTATTTGCCATGAAGTGATGGGCCTGGATGCCATTTTTTGAATGTTGAGCTTTAAGCCAACTTTTTCACTCTTCTCTTTCACTTTCATCAAGAGGCTCTTTAGTTCTTCACTTTCTGCCACAAGGGTGGTATCATCTGCATATCTGAGGTTATTGGTATTTCTCCCGGCAATCTTGATTCCAGCTTGTGATTCATCCAGCCTGGCATCTCACATGATGTACTCTGCATAGAAGTTAAGTAAGCAGGGTGACAATACACAGCCTGACATACTCCTTTCCCAATTTGGAGCCAGTCCACTGTTCCATGTCCAGTTCTAACTGTTGCTTCTTGACCTGGATACAGGTTTCTCAGGAGGCAGGTAAAGTGGTCTGGTGTTCCCATCTCTTTAAGAATTTTCTCACAGTTTGTTCTGATCCACACAGTCAAAGGCTTTAGTGTCATCAAGGAAGCAGAAGTAGATGTTTTTCTGGAATTCTCTTGCTTTTTCTGTGATCCAGCAGATGTTGGTAATTTGATTTCTGGTTCCTCTGCCTTTTCTAAATCCAGCTTGAACATCTGGAAATTCTCCACCCATGTACTATTGAAGCCTAGCTTAGAGAATTTTGAGCATTACTTTGCTGGCATGTGAGATGAGTGCAATTGTGCTGTAGTTTGAACACTCTTTGGCATTGCCTTTCTTTGGGACTCACGCTGCATGACATGGCCAAAAATTTAAAAAGAACTAGCTTCTGGTTTTACTAATTTTATACCTCCTGATTTAAGTATTTAATGAACTTTTCTCTTTTTCCTTCAGTTATATATTATATATATTTTCAGATTCTTTTCCAATATAGGTTATTACAAGATACTGAATATAGTTCTCTGTGTCGTACAGTAAACAGTCCTTGTTGTTTATCTATTTATACAGAGCTGTGTGTACCTGTTAATTCAGACCCTAATTTATACCCCCCTTTCCCCTTGGGGAACCACAAGTCTGTCGTCTACGACTGTGAGTCTGTTTCTGTTTCATTGATAAGTTCATTCGTGTCACATTTTAGATTCCACACGTGAGAGATGTCATGTGCTGCCATCTTGGACCTGCTTTACTTAGTGTGATGACGTCTAGGTCCATCCATGGTGCTGCGAACAGCATCATTTCATTCCAGGTTTTTCTCCGTATTAATTCCACCTGCTTCCTTCCGTGTCTTCTGTTTATTTTTGACTTGGGGCGGGGGGTGGCACCTGGATTGCTTCCCCACCAGAGATGAATACTTTCTGGTTAAATGCAGGCTTCTTGGATTTGCCTTTTGTCTTAACAGCCCTGATGGTCCTCTTCCCTATGGCTGGCCCTCCTCCTCCCTGGCAGCCCCCAGGCTGGCCCTTCCCTCTGGACTGCAGAAGCCGCACCTGCCCGGCTCGGGCCGCGCTCACTCGCTCGCTCCTCCATTCATTCCATGTGACACACGCTTCTTCTCATAGGCTGTTTCTGGTTCCAGGTCCACGCTGCCAGTTCGCGTCATTTCCTCCCCCTTCCTCACGTCCTGGCTTCTCCCGGAGATGGGGGCGCAACCTGGGGGTGGGCCCCGGCTGCAGAGCTGCCTCAGGCAGGGTGCCACATGGCTGTGCAGGGGGTCTGCGGTGGGAACTGGCTCGGGGAGCAGCAGCAGGCGGCCTCTGGTTTGAAACCGCACGAGGGGCTCCATCTGAGAGCAGAGACAGGTGAGGAGCCGCCTGCAGGTTCGGGGCACCCAATGCCCGGCTCCCTGGAGACGCAGCCCTTCCCCACGCATCCTGCAGGACCGAACTACAAGCTCCCCTGTTTATAGTCTCCTTTTGGCTCCGAACCTCCAGGAGACGAACCCTGAGCTACCTGCGTGCGTGGCCGCCCTGGCGTGCAGACTGCCGGGAGGGGGAGCCCTGCTCGCGTCTGAACGCGCCCTCCCGTCGTGCTGCCTTTCCCCCCCGCCCCCCGTAAGGCTTCCTGGGGGGCAGGATGGGTCCCAGTACATGGGTTCATGGTCGGCAGTCCGTGAGCAGCTGAAGCGGTGGGTGTGCTGAGCCCCTGGGAAACGTGGTCATCCAGTGCTGGGTCAAGAGGCTCTCCACGGACTCGTGTGACGGACACAGCCCGGGGGGCCCAGGCTCCACATGGTGACTTTGGACACCAAGTGCCTCTGTCACAAGTGAGCCTACATTTATCTTCTGAGAGAATAATCTTATGTGGCTTTTGGCTTTATTCTTGGATGTGCCCATTGTTTAAAAAGGGAAAACAAAAAACCCAACCTTTTGTCTTGGGCTAAAATCAATTCCCAAATATCCAAAACTCCTGCACATTTGATTGACCTGTGAGCTCCAGAATTAACAAGCTATTAAGTTTCTTTGGAAGCAAGCTTCAGCGCTAAGCTGGCCTCTGAGCTGGTCCTTACCTCAGGAAGCGGCTCCCTCTCCCGGGCTCCCCCTGGTGTGTGTTTCCTCACACACTCACGTGTGAGCTGTGTGCTGCAAATGGCCTCAGCAGCACTGCTGACAGGAGCGGCCGGAGGCGCAACAGGGTCCTGGCAGAAGCTGCTCCCAACGCGTCCACCAATACTGGGGAGTAGATTTCAGCTCAGACACAACGAAGTGTTTCTGAACCACCTTCTTCAGAGCTGGAAGAACTTTAGAGGTCATTGAATCACTCCAACTTTCAGGGTATCTGTAAAACAGAAAAACCTGTAATTGAAACCTTCTAGAGGATTTTTTTTAAATTAAACATTTTGAGATAACTATAGATATGCATGTACTTGTCAGAAATAATAAAGAGACGTCCCATCTACCTTTCACCCCAAATCACAGCAGGACATGGTGTGGATCAGAGGAGAGCCAGGCACGGCAGTGCCACGGGGCCCTCGCCCCAAGGCCCCGATCTGCGAGTGAGCCGGGCAACGCTGGTCACGTCTCCATCCACATCGTCTGTCATTTCAGGAACGTTGCACGGCTGGAGCCACAGTCGTGACCCCTACGAGTTGCCGTGTGTGTGCCGAGTGCCCAGCCTGTTTGTGGAGTGGGCTCCCGTGGCGTGGACACAGAGGCTGCTTGGCCAGCACGCCCGAGGGGCTTCGACGCTGCTTCCAGCTCTGGGCCATCAGGGGGCAGAGCTGCAGTACCGCAGGGGCAGGCGCAGCGGGGCTACTTCTTTCATCTTTATTTCTGGGGGTCGTGCCTCAGGGCATGTGGGATTTTAGCTCCCCGACCAGGGATTGAACCTGTGCTTCCTGCGTTGGATGCATGGAGTCTTAACCACTGGACTGCCAGGGAGGTCCCTTTTCTCATCCTTTTATTGTGAAAATAGAAAAACACAAGAGTAGTGGGCACAGAGGACAGCCAGAGGGTAATTCAAGGGACCTGGGGGAGCCAGAGGAGAAGCACCAGGACAGAACCCAGAGGAGGTGGAAGGGGCGGGGAACACAGGAGACCCAAAGGACATGTTTCCCAGAGGCCAGGCACCAAGTGGGGACAAGTCACAGGAGGCCGCCAGAAACTCCAACAGGCATTTGGGTGGCACCCCGGCAGGATCAAGAATAAGAAGCATTCACTTCAGTCACTCAGTCATGTCCGACTCCTTGTGAGACCATGAACCGCAGCACACCAGGCCTCCCTGTCCATCACCAACTCCCGGAGTTTACCCAAACCCATGTCCATTGAGTCAGTGATGCCATTCAACCATCTCATTCTCTGTCGTCCCCTTCTCCTCCCGCCTTCAATCCTTCCCAGCATCAGGGTCTTTTCCAGTGAGTCAGCTCTTCACATCAGCCGGCCAAAATATTGCAGTTTCAGTTTCAACATCAGTCCTTCCAATGAACACCCAAGACTGATTTCCTTTAGGGTGGATCATTGGAACTCCTTGCAGTCCAAGGGACCCTCAAGAGTCTTCTCAACACCACAGTTCAAAAGCATCAGTTCTTCGGCGCTCAGCTTTCTTTATAGTTCAACTCTCACATCCATACATGACTACTGGAAAAACCATAGCCTTGACTAGATGGACTTTTGTTGACAAAGTAATGTCTGCTTTTTAATATGCTGTCTAAGTTGGTCATAACTTTCCTTCCAAGGAGTAAGCGTCTGTTAATTTCATGGCTGCAACCACCATCTGCAGTGATTTTGGAATCCAGAAAAATAAAGTCAGCCACTGTTTCCACTGTTTCCCCATCTATTTGCCATGAAGGGATGGGACTGGATGCCATGGTCTTAGTTTTATGAATGTTGAGCTTTAAGCCAACTTTTTCACTCTCCTCTTTCACTTTCATCAAGAGGCTTTTTAGTTCCTCTTTACTTTCTGCCATAAGGGTGGTGTCATCTGCATATCTGAGGTTATTGATATTTCTCCCAGCAATCTTGATTCCAGCTTGTGCTTCTTCCAGTCCAGCTTTTCTCATGATGTACTCTGCATGTAAGTTAAATAAGCAGGGTGACAATATACAGCCTTGACATACTCCTTTTCCTATTTGGATCCAGTCCGTTGTTCCATGTCCAGTTCTAACTCTTGCTTCCTGACCTGCATACAGTTTTCTCAAGAGGCAGGTCAGGTGGTCTGGTAATCCCATCTCTTTCAGAATTTTCCACAGTTTATTGTGATCCACACAGTCAAAGGCTTTGGCATAGTCAATAAAGCAGAAATAGATGTTTTTCTGGAACTCTCTTGCTTTTTCAATGATCCAGTGGATGTTGGCAATTTGATCTCTGGTTCCTCTGCCTTTTCTAAATCCAGCTTGAACATCTGGAAGTTCACGGTTCACGTATTGCTGAAGCCTGGCTTGGAGAATTTTAAGCATTAGTTTACTTGTGTGTGAGATGAGTGCAATTGTGTGGTAGTTTGAGCATTCTTTGGCATTAGATTTTTTGGGGATTGGAATGAAAACTGACCTTTCCCAGTCTTGTGGCCACTGCTGAGTTTTCCAAATTTGCTGACCTATTGAGTGCAGCACTTTCACAGCATCATCTTTTAGGATTCAAAATAGCTCAACTGGAATTCCATCACCTCCACTGGCTTTGTCCCTAGTGATACTTCCTAAGGCCCACTTGCATTCCACGATGTCTGGCTCTAAGTGAGTGACCACACCTTCATGATTATCTGGGTCGTGAAGATTTTTTTTGATTAATTCTTCTGTGTATTCTTGCCACCTCTTCTTAATATCTTCTGCTTCTGTTAGGTCCATACGATTTCTGTCCTTTATTGTGCCCATCTTTGCATGAAATGTTCCCTTGGTAGCTCTAATTTTCTTGAAGAGATCTCTAGTTGTTCCTATTCATCAGTTTCTTTGCATTGATCGCTGAGGAAGGCTGTCTTATCTCTCCTTGCTAGTCTTTGGAACTCTGCATTCAGATGGGTATATCTTTCCTTTTCTCTTTTGCTTTTTGCTTCTCTTTTCACAGCTATCTGTAAGGCCTCCTCAGACAGCCATTTTGCTTTTTTGCGTTTCTTTCTCTTGGGGATGGTCTTGATCCCTGTCTCCTGTACTATGTCATGAACCTCCATCCATAGTTCATCAGGCTGTCTATCAGATCTAGTCCCTTAAATCTATTTCTCACTTTCACTGTATAATCATAAGGGATTTGATTTAGGTCATACCTGAATGGTCTAGTGGTTTTCCCCACTTTCATCAATTTAAGTCTGAATCTGGCAATAAGGAGTTTATGATCTGAGCCACAGTCAACTCTCAGTCTTGTTTTTGCTGACTGTATAGAGCTTCTCCATCTTTGGCTGCAAAGAATATAATCAATCTGATTTCAGTATTGACCATCTGGTGATGTCCATGTGTAGAGTCTTCTTCTGTGTTGTTGGAAGAGGGTGTTTGCTATTACCAGTGTGTTATCTGGGCAAAACTCTAAAAGCATTATGGACAGTCAAAGAGTTACACCAAGTGACCACCTGACCCAGCAACGCCACTCCTGGGTGTGCACCCAGGAGAATAGAGAACACAATGCCACAGAAACACCTGCACACAAGTGTGACTCACAAGAGCCAAACAGTGGGAGCCCTGGAGTGCCCCTGGGTGTCTGTTTGATCAACAAAATGGGTGCATCCACACAACGGCTGTAACAGCCTGAAAAGGAAACAAGCGCTGGCCCTCCTACAATGCACACGAACCTCAAGGACATGATGCTGAGGGAGAGGCGCCAGATAGAAATCTACACATTTTACGATTCCATTTACACGAATTGTCCAGAAGAGGTGAAAGCAGACGCGGGATGACTGGCTGCCTGGGGCAGGGATGACGGGGGACTGCAGTGGGGGCATTAGGGGCGACGGTGGCACAGCTCTGCGAATGTGACAGAAACACGGAACTGTACATTTAAAAGTGAGCTTTATGATTTGTGAAGCACATCTCAGTAGCTAAAAGACACCCGGCAAAGGAAACGGAGATGCTAAATCCTGCCAGTTCTTCAAAGGAGTCTGGCTGTAAAAGAGCAAGGAGACAGGTGGGCTGAGGGTGGCGGCTTTCTGTCCAAGGTGGGAAGAAACACAGGACGTCTGCATAGAGAGGGGAAATAACACCGGGGGGGAGCACTCCAGTGAGACACGCTGGGGACGGGGCACTGCTCCGAGGGAGGAGGCAGATCTGGGGTGTAGGCACCAGGAATCCCTTCCAGCTGGGAGGCAGGATGGGTGGAGGTGAGGCCAAGGAAGGAAGGGAAGGGACTGGGCCAGGGGAGGGGTGAGCTCCCTGGGCAGGACCCACATGACCCACCTGAGGCTTGTGGTCAATGTGGACAGACACAGGTCAGCAGGCTGAGACAGGTCAGCGGGACCAGGCTCCTGGCCGGACAGAGGGACCAGGGACCGGACAAGAGTGTGGGTGGTGCTCCTTGGAAGAAAAGTTGTGACCAACCTAGACAGCATATTACTTTGCCAACAGAGACTTACTTTGCCAACAAAGGTCTGTCTAGTCAAAGCTATGGTTTTTCCACTAGTCATGTATAAATGTGAGAGTTGGACCAAAAAGAAAGCTGAGCGTGATGCTTTTGAATTGTGGTGTTGGAGAAGACTCTTGAGAATCCCTTGGACTGCAAGGAGATCCAACCGGTCAATTCTAAAGGAGATCAGTCCTGGGTGTTCATTGGAAGGACTGATGCTGAAGCTGGAACTCCAATACTTTGGCCACCTGATGTGAAGAGCTGACTCATTGGAAAAGACCCTGATGCTGGGAAAGATTGAAGGCAGGAGGAGAAGGGGATGACAGAGGATGAGGTGGTTAGATGGCATCACTGACTCAATGGACATGGGTTTGAATAAACTCCAGGAGTTGGTGATGGACAGGGAGGCCTGACATGTTGCAGCCCATGGGGTTGTAGAGAGTCGGACACGAGCGACTGAAGTGAACTGAACTGGTGGGTGGGGGCTTGGCGGGTAGAGGGCATGAGCTGCAAGGACGGGTGTGGGTGGGCGGCTGCAGGAAGGAGGAGGCCCAAGTGGGCGGGCGGGAGGGCGCAGCTGAGCTCAGGGACCCTCAGGGCTGTGAGGGAGGCGGGGGTCCTGAGGCTGGACCGGGCAGGGCTGTGGGAGGCTGGTGGGTGGGAGGTCTGGTCTGAGGAAGGGAGCGTCCACGCGGGAACTCGGGGAAGAGAGGAGCACATGCGAGGTGGGGGCTCTGCCCACCTCCCAGCTGGCAGCTTGGGAACCTCAGTGCCCCACTGGTGAGAGAGCAGCCTCCTCGGGGGCACGCGGCCCAGGAGGCCTTCCCACTTGACAAGCATCGTCTCACAGCCCTGCTGGCTTGTCCTCAGCGACTCTGGTCCTCAGGAAAGGAAGCAGAGTCTCAGCCCCAACTGAGCAGGGAGGGTGGCCAGAGTCGGAGGCAGGTGGCTCTCTGCCAGCCGCCCAGGACACACGCCTCCCCGGACCGTGGAGGATGCTCAGGCACAAGGGCGCAGCCTGTGTCCAGGAGCGTCTCCAGGGCTCATGCGGTGATGGTAACGTTTCTGCGCCAGCATCCAAAGGCCACAGTGCCTAGGTGTTTGGTCAAAGAGTCACATGTTACGGTGAAAGCATTTTTCAGATGAGATTAACATTTAAAACAGTAGACAAAGCAATAGAAAGCAGACCCTCCGTGACACGGGTGAACCTCATCCCGTCAGCTGAAGGCGGAAAGAGCGAAGACAGGTCCCCCGAGAGACGGTGCGGCTCTCCCAGCCTGTGGGCTCCTCAGACAGATGCAGCCTCCACAGCTGCAGGAGCGCGTCCTCCTCGCCGGCCACCCTCTGTGAAGGCCCTGGGGCACCGCGGGGCTAAGAGTGAGACGCGTGAGACGCAGAGGGAGCCCCGCGGGACACGAGCGGGGCCGGGGGGCCCGGCACCCAGAGGGGCCCCCGCCTCCCCCTGGACAGAGCCCCAGCGCCCCGAGCGCGGCCCGCGTCGCCCCGAGGGCGGCCCGCGTCACCCCGAGGGCGGCCCGCGTCGCCCCGAGGGCGGGCGCACAGCCCTGGAGGCTTCCACTTTCTCCGTGGAGAGGAAGGGGATTCCAGTGTTCGCGGTATGACACCGAAACAGGGAGCCCCGCCGAAACGGGCCGGGCAGGCTCGGGGCTCTCGCACGTCCCCGTCGGCGGGCCGAGCCCGGCGGGCTGAGGGCCTGACGGACGCCCCCACAGGGTCACCGGCCCGGGGCCACGGCCAACTTCCGCACCGAGCCCCCAGCCGCCCCTCCGGCGGCGACCCGGGGCCCACGGATGACCCGCCCCCGGCCCCTCCCAGCGGCACCCGCGTCCAGCGCCGGACCGCGAGGCCCCAGGATCGCTTAACGGCCCGGCCCTGGGGCCTCTTACCTGAGACGGAAGGGTCCGCCCGGAACCTTGGCGCGGCCGCAGCAGCGGCGCCGGAGGCGAGCCCGGATGGTTTTTCCCAGCGCACCGAGGCCGACTCCGAGCTGTCAGCGGCGGCGGGGAAGCGCCCGCGCGCGAGCTCTGGGCGGAAGTCCAGAGGGGCGGGGCCGACTGGGGCGGGGGCGGGGGCCTCAGGTGGGGCGTGGTCAGGAGGGCGGGGCTTATGGGCCTTCCTGGAGCACCTGACGCACCTGGCGCCCCTGCGCACCTGACGCACCCGGCGCTCCGCGCTCCGCCCCTCCCGCACCTAGTACCTGGCTCCGGAGCAAGTCCTCGCCCCTTCTGTCCGCCTCGGAGGGATCCCGCGGCCCGCGCTGTTCTCCGGATTCCCGGGCCCCGGCCCCCGGCCCCCGGCCCCGCGGTCCTCTAACCCCAGCACCCCCGGGCCGGACCCTCACGGCCGCCCGCTGCGCCCGTCGCGATCCGGCCGGGAAGGGCCGACTTCCGCGTGGTGCCAGGCGGGGTCCACTCCGCCATGCCCTCGCTCGGGGACCTGCTGCGCGACTGGCACCAGGGCGCGCAGGCCGTGGCGCGCGGGGACTGGGACTGCGCCCTGCACCTCTTCTCGAGCGTCTCGGAGCCGCCCGCCAGGGTGAGCTTCAACGTGGGCTGCGTGCACCTGCTGGCCGGGGACCCGGAGGCCGCGCTGCGGGTGAGCCAGGAGGCCCCCAGGCTTGGTTGCAGATACCCCACCTCGCGGGATGCAGCTTTCTGCTCCTGGTGGCCAGGGCTGGGGGGTGGGGTGGCAACGCGCGGTGCCATAGCTGCAGGGGTGAGCCCAGGGCTCCCACCCTGCTTCCCTGATGGCCACCTGGGCACTCCCCCCACCCCAGCGTTCTGCCTCAGCGAACACCTAAGCATGTGGGACCTGTGTGTGTCCAGGGGGGACCCTGTTGAGCTGCGTCAGGGCCAGGATGGGGTTGCAAGGCTCCAGCACAGCCTCCACTTGTGGGGACCATTTGTCCCGCTCTGCGGTCCTGCGGAAAGACCGAGTGAGTGCTGGTTCTGGTGCTCTTGGTGGAGGTGCTAATGTACCTGCAGAGGCTCGAGGCTGGATGGGGCTGGGAGGGTTGCCTGGGTGTAGGCTTTGGGTCAGGTCTGCAGCAGACACCTGTGGCGATGGCCAGGAGACAGTGTCTGCCTGGTGCCTGAACCCCAGATCTGTGTCCCCCAAAGCACACACCACACCCCAAAGCAGAACCAAGAGCTGGATGTGTGCACGGGCACACACACCTGCCTCTGCAGAGGGCCCGGCAGGACCATCCCTGCCCTTCAAGCCCCCAGGTTCATCACCGTGGTGCACATCCCGTGGGCGATGACAAAAAGCAGTAGCACCCTGCACACTGCTCCGGTCCCCGAGGGCCCTGCGTTGTTCAGGCCAAGGGCGACAGCTACCGAAAACATGTCCAACGGGCCTGCCCTGTCATTCCTCACATATGTGTTCAAATCTGCAGTTATCTCAGCAGCAGTGTCAGTGTTAGAATGTTATCCAACAATGGGGATGTCATCACTGGACACCAAGGGGTCAGTGGCATGAGGCCAGTCCAGTCACTACCTCCTCTAAACCTCAATTTAATCAGAGAGAGGGGACAGAGGTTCCGGTCCAAGGGTGTGCACATTAAATTCTCCTCCACTCTAATCGGAAATGGAATAGCAGAGGCATGTTTGTTGGAAAATTTTAAAAAGCAGATGGAATGGCTACAATCAATAAAGCTGACTTGGACAGGGTGAGGGGAGCTGGGGCTCCATGTCTGGCAGGCGCCCTCCGGAAGCTCTGACCCAGCCGCTCAGTGTGACAGGATAAAAGGGTTTCCCTTGTGCTGAGCGGCCACATCAGTGCCCGACTGCTGACCTTCAACCTCTGTCAGATTCAGCTCAACAAGCCCCACTCAGCCAGGTTTGTTAGAGTGGGACCATGACACCCCTCCAGTTACCTGTATTTAACTTGATGGCTGCTGTATGCACTCCTTTTGCTTGTGTTTAACTGATGTCTGCTGTCCTTAGGAATAGACGACATCATTTCTGAGTTCAGTTTCAGGAAGAGCTGGGCTTCACACACATATTAAGACTTTCGTCTTGTTGTTCTTTCTGATTCTAATAGATGAGACATGTGTGTTTTTGTGTGAACTACCAAAACTAGGGCTTGAAAAAGACAACAGTCTTAACATAACTCCTCCAGTGGAGGTAACTATTATCAACGTGCTGGAGCGTTTCCTTGTGCTCATGGTTAACAAGTTGATCTGTGCCGCCACCTAACTACCCCCGAGCGGTCACCAGGAAACACCTGGGGAGTCCAGGCGGGTTTGCATTGAGGCCGTGACGCCTGCGCCCCTTGGACTCAGAGGCCCCTGGGCAGGCAAAGGAAACTTTCTCCTGCAGGTGACTGTCATGTGGCCGACGGGCTTCCTTGACCCACTGCTGGGCATCCCCATCTGTGACACGGGGGTGGCGTGGTCACAGGCCTGAGCAGTCCACAGACATTTCTGTCCGCAGGCATTTGACCAGGCAGTGACCAAGGACACCTGCCTGGCTGTCGGCTTCCTCCAGCGCGGAGTGGCCAACTTCCAGCTGGAGAGGTGAGCACGGACAGGCCCTCTTCCTTCTCTGTCAGCCCTTCATCTCTGCAGAGCCCTTCCTGTGCTCCTGTCTGCCTACGGTCACCTCCTCTGGCCAGGTCCTCCCTCTGCTCCGCGAAGCCCAGGGAGAGGATCGTGTCTCTCTGTCCCCATGCCGGGCTGCACAGTCACCCTGGGCTCTGTGTGGAAGAGGGTCACAGAGCGCCTCTGCCGGCTCCCCTCCTCCATTCTTACACCCTGGACTGGGGGACAGCGTGATTCTGCCCATTCTGCCTTCAGGAAACCCAGGGCAGGGCTGGAGGAATGGCGCATCCCAGGACTCGGCGGGTGGGGGGGCGGGTTCCTCTGCCTGCCCGGCTCTCTGCAGCAGGCCCTTCCCAGAGAAGGAATCAGAGCTGCAGGGCAGGCCCGGAGCTCACACACAGCCTTACACAGGGCGGGCGGGCGGGCGGGTAACCTCCTTCTCATCAGCCCAGAAGCCTCCCCGGGGGCGATGAGGATCCTGGTCGGGGCTGGGGCTTCCAGCCGGGCTCTGGGTGGAGAGGCCTGTGGGACGGAGGCCCCAGAAGCAGGCAGGACACGCCCAGGGCACGCTGTGCTCTGAGGTTCGGGAGAGGGCCTGGGGTGCAGGCGGAGGAGCCCACATGCCGCATAGCCCGTCTGTGTGGCCCCCGTGTGCTGAGGCCTGCCAACCACTGCTGCCCCCGCGCTGCAGGAGGGGCTGGGGCGGGGCCGGATCTCGGCCAAGGAGGAGCCCTTGCCCTGGGGCCGCCCGGGGCCTGCACGCCAGGCTGCCCTGCTGCCCACAGGTTCCAGGAGGCCCTGTCGGACTTCCAGCGCACCCTGGCCCAGCTGAGGGACAACGCCACCATCGACTACACCCAGCTGGGCCTGCAGTTCAAGCTGCAAGCCTGGGAGGTGAGCATGCGGGGAGCAGGCCGCCAGGAGGCGGTGTGGCTGGGCCCTGGGGGCTGTCTGTGGGTGGGCAGCCCGGGGGCTCCTTCCAGGACCCCAGTCCTGCAGGCCCTGCCCTCTGGGCCCTGTCGTCTTGTGACTGTGGCAGGTGGGCCCGAGTTAACTGAGGTGCTCCGTCTGGCTAGAGGAGCCCCAAAATCCCAGCAGAAGAGAGCAGTGTCGGAGGTCAGCGAGAGGTGGCGGGGTGGGCAGGGCGGGAGCTGGCCTGGCAGAGGGCCCTGGCGTCCCTGCCCTAGGCTTGGTGCTTGGCTCAGTTCCTGGACTCCTGGGAAGTGCCTGGCACTGACAGAAAGGCTTGGGAGGCTCCCCCGCAACCCTGTGCTCCCACCACTCCCAGAAACATGCCACCTCGCAGCCTCTGGGAGCCGCAGTGTCCCGGTAGGTCAGCCGTGGGGGAAGTCCCACCAGGCTGGGCCCGGCCCCAGCCCTGGCCTGCAGGACGGGCTGTGGGCTTGGCGTCCGTGGCCCGGGCAGCCCCGCGGCAGCAGCTCTAGGAGTGCATGGGCCCTGCAGAGCGCGGGGACAGAGGTTGCCCCAGGCGGTGCCCCGTCCTCCTGGCAGCACTGAACGACTTGGCTGCTATCGCCCAGCACGGGGGAGCGCAGCGGACAAGAGGCGCCGCTCAGACAGCGCCCCAAACTCTTGGAGGTTCAGGGAACAGGGCAGCACAGGCAGGAGGGGGTCAAGCCAAACGCAGGACGGGCGTGAAGGCTGAGCAGGCGCTTCCAGAGGTGGGAGATGCCTGACGTTCAGAGCAGAGGAGAGGCAGGGAGGGCTGGTGGGCTCCGGCTGGGGGGTCCGGAGAGGAACCAGCAGGCAGAGCCCACCCCAGGGTGGGAGCCAGGGGGTACCTGGAAGAGCCCCGGGCCACTGTGTCTGGGCAGCTCAGGGGCTGGACCAGTGCAGGGCCAGGGGTGTGGCCAGGTGGTGGCCCTGTAGGGGAGGGGAGTGCTGGGCCTGCCGTCACCCCGCCCCCCACCCTCAGGTGCTGTTCAATGTGGCTGCAGTGCAGAGCCAGCTGGGGCTCTGGGCAAAGGCCGCCTGCAGCCTGGGGGACGCCCTCTCCAAGGGGCCAGAAGGGGCCCGCAACGACCTGGACATAGCCCTGGGCCAAGTGCAGGTAAGGGACAGGTGAGGGGAGCCAGGCTCCTGAGCTGACTCGGGGGGCTTGCCAGGCCCACAGCCTGCACTTTTGGGGCTCACATCCATCCAGCCCCCCAAGACCAACCATATGAGATAGAGATGTCTGGAGGTGGGGGGCCTGCTGTGCCCTGGAGGGATGGGCCTCCCACAGGCCATGGGGGTTGGGGGGCGGGCCGTCCTGCTCTGAGGCCCCGGTGGCTCCTGGTGCTCAGGGCTGCCCTGTCTGGTCCCCTCCAGAAACAGGTCCCCCTGCAGCCTCGGCAGGTCCCCAGGGGTGAGGTCTTCCGGCCTCATAGGCGGCACCTGGAGCACCTGGAGCCTGTGGATTTCCTGGGCAAGGCCAAGGTAAAGGGAGGTGGCTTCTTGCTGCTTGGGCCCAAGGCTCGGGGCCAGTGGTGCCAGCAGGCCGCAGGGTGGACGGCCAGGCCCTGCTGAGCTCACACTGTCCTGAGTGCTGGGGTCATCGAGGCCTTGGGGTGGGAGGGGGCGCGAGGCTCCCAGGGGCGGTAGCGCCCCTAGATGGGCTCACGGATGGGGCCTGGGGCCTGGGGGCGGAGCCACTGGAAGCTGCTGCAGACCCCCAGCCAGCATGGCCCTGCCTGCCCCAGCCTCACTCTCCTGGCTTCAACCTTGCCCTGCGTTTCGGCCTCAGGGGGCAGGACCCTGGAGGCAAAGGGCGGTCTGGCCAGGCCACCTCTGCCCAGCCCGGGGTCTGGGCAGGTGGCACCAGCAAAATCGCTGGCTGATGGGGTGCAGCTCGCCCCAGGGTGGGCTAGTGTGTGGGGAAAGAGGGCTCCCTGTGCACAAAGGAAGGCTCACTCTGGTCTCCAGCTGTGGCCCAGGGCCCCTGATGCCCTGGTCACCCAGGGCCAGGCACTGGGTGTCTTAGCTGGAGGGCTGCCTGGAGGAGGCACTTCTGAGCTGCATTAATCCACCCACTTGGAGCCCTTACCACAGGAGGTGACTATTTCTGTGAAATAAGAACATTCTTTTTTTTTTTTTGAAATAACATTTTAAAAGCGGTATTGAAAATAAGTCACACGGATGAGCCAGGCTCCGGCAGCCCCCACCAGGCAGGTGGGGGACTTGGGGGCGCGGGTGGGCAGCGGGCCCTGGGCACCCCTCAGGCGGCCGCCCCTGCTGTCGCTCACAGGTGCTGGCCTCCACCCTCCCCGCCGACTCACAGAGGGTCGCCCCGCCGCAGCCACAGGTAGGCGAGCTGCCTCCCGCCCTCCCCCCCCCCCCCCCCCACTGCACGTCTCTTCTGGTGTTTGCAGGTCAGGGCCTCCCAGATTCTTTACCCTTAAGGGTGCCTGAACCCTCTCCGGGGCTCCCTGCGTCCCTGCAATCTAAACTTAGGGGGCGGCCCATCCTGGTGAGAGCCGGTGAAAACCCTGCAGCCTTGCCCCCCGGTCCCCGGGGCTCCTGGGGGTCTGCGTCCTGAGGAGGCATCGTCTGTGCCCACAGGCTCTGGACGCGTGTGCTGAAGCCAGGCCCAGGGCCGCTGCATGGTAGGAAGGGGTCGGCGCCCACTTCTCCTGTCAGCAGGGGCTCCGCGAGGCCTGCCTCCCAGCCTGACGCTGGAGCTCCTAGGCAGACCTGCTGCGGCCAGCGTGACCTGCCCCCTTTCCAGACTGTCCAGGGTCCTGGTGTGGTGGGGGGCACCCCGCCTCGCTCAGCCCTCCCATTTGTCCCGAGCCCATTCTGACCCCAGGGGGAGAGCCCGCCCCCGCTCAGGCCGGGGGTGGGGGGGGGACACACCAAAGGCACCGGTGGGTGCAGCTGGCCACAGGCTGCAGGGAAAGCCCACCAGACACTGTCTTGCTGGCAGCCCTCCAAGCGGGGTGCTCGTCTCCAGCTCGGGGCTCTGCAGGCCCACCTTCCACGAGGCCTTGCCCATGGGTGAGGCCTGGGGACGAGGGCCCCTCCTCTCCAGGGCCTGTGACACTGACCCTGGCAGAGCTGGCACCCCCTGCAGCCCCAGGACACCTGCTGACGCGGAGATGGAGGTCAGCTCCGGCCAGGCTGGGCAGCACGACCACAGCACGCCGGTCACTCACGAGGTGGGTGAGCCCTGGCCAGGCAGGTAGGGGCCACAGCATTTGCAAGACCCCCGCCCCAGGCTGGGCTTGGGGACCAGCCCCAGCAGGGCCCAGCAAGGGTCTCAGGCCGGGCAGCTTGCCTCATTGCCTGCTGGGGACAGGGCTTCGGCTTCCTTAGGCAGGCCAGGGGCTGGGTGGGAGCCAGCCACAGCGACCAGATGCCAGGAGTTGGGGACACACGGAAGTTCACAGGTGCTCAGAGGGGAGCTGGGGGTGCTCCCCACCCCGGGCCAGGGAGGGGCTGCAGTGTGTGCATCAGAGTCGTGAGGGTTCCGCCCCTCAGGTGGGTCACCTAGCCTTCCTTGCTGGACGCGGGACTTCCTGAGATGCCCCAGGGGCTATGTGCAGCTGAGGAGTTGGCCTGGGTTTCTCAGGGCGGGTGTGCCTCGAGGGGTGGGGCTCCAGGAGCCTCGAGGCCGCCGTGAGGAAGTTCGAGTTAACCACAGAGAAAAGTGGTTACCTTGCACATTCACTTTATCAGGGGGCTCGAGTGAGAATGAGGCAGGCCTCCCTCCTCGTCCACTGAGGTCCAGTCCACTCGGTGGGCCGACCAGTGCTCTTGAAAGCCGTCGGCTCGTCACCGCTGTGCTGAGCGCTAGGTCTTCCGGACAGAACAGTGGCAGCTCCCTGACTGCTTTTAGCAGCTGGCAAATCTGATAAAAATCCAAATGCTTCGTGTGCAAACTCAGCCCACTTAGTCCACCCTGAAGTCGGGGTCTCCTTCCCGGGTCAGCGCGGCCCGGGCTGGGGGCTCTGTGTTGTCCCGCCCGCAGCACACCCGCGGCTTGCGGTCCCGGCACAGAGTTAGGTCCAGCGCGTCCCTGGCTTCACCCCCAGCCTCCTGGGGCCGCCAGGAACCCTCAGCTTCAGCCGCCACCTCCTGGCGGGCCAGGGGAAGACAGGTCCGTGCCCATAGGCATGGTGGCCTGTCTGTCATCTCCGGTCCATACGGACCTGGTTCATGCTCCAGATTCACCCGTGACAGGGATGGACTGGTGGCCTCCTGCCTGGCCGGGCCATCTTGCAGGCCGTGCCCCTCACCCCCAGGTCTGCCAGGCCCAGCAGAGCCCCCGCCCCCACCCCCTGCCCCGACCTGAGGCCCAGCAGAGCCCCAGCTTGTGGCTTTCCTTGCAGAGTGCCCACGGGGAGCATGCTGGCCAGCAGGTTCCTCCAGGTGAGGCCCTGAGCGGTGGGGGTGGGGTGCTCTCAGGGCCCTGTGGGGGGTGGGGTTCGAGGACCCAGGCAGGCATCTCGGGGGCGTACTCAGAGCAGCTGCTGTGTCCTCCAGAGAGGAAGCTGGCGGCCTTGCGGTTCCCGGGGACGGGGTGTCAGCAGCCCCTACTCTGATGTGCTCCCCTCGGGGGGGGCGGCAGTCACCTGACTCCCTGGCCCCCCTCCTTTCTCCCTGCAGGGCTGCTGGCAGCCGGGGGGCCTGGCCCTGGCCCCTCCGAGGAACCCGCCGGCGCTGGAGTAAGAGCCAGCAGTTCTCACGTCACCCCCACTCCCCAGAGACGTGGGGGCCCCAGGCCAGGCCCCCCTCCCATCCAGCCGAGGAAGCCTCCCAAGTCCGTGGCCCCCGAGCCCCCACCTCTCCGCCCCTGCCGTGCCCCCGGGGCCGGAAGCCCACTCCGGCTGGTCCTGGGGCCTTGGGGCCCAACCGCCATTCTGCCTCCACCCAGGGCGTGACATCGGGGGACTCTGAGTCCTTGGTGACCGTCACCGTGCAGTGTGCCCTCACCCTGACCCTGACGGCCCCGAGAGGAGCTGACCTGTCCAGCCTACGGGCCCTGATGAGCCAGGCCCTGCCCCGCCACGCCCAGCATGCCCAGCTCAGGTGGGCCAGGACAACGTGGCAGGGCAGGGAGGGGGCTCCGGGCTGGGTACCTCTCGGCCGTGCCCTGCAGGAGGGCCAGACCCGTCAGAGGCTTTCGAGGTCAGAGGTTAGCACCCTCCGAAGCCGCTCGCCCACGCAGCCCCCTCTGAGGAGTCTCTTTGCAGCTACCGAGACCCCAGCGAGGACGGGCGCTGGATGCCCCTCTCTGGGGAAGAGGTGCTGCGGGGGGCCTGGCGGAACGCGGCCGGCCCCGGGGGTCTGCAGCTGCAGTGCCGGGTGAGTGGGGTGGGCGCGGGGGTGGCTGGCTCCCTCCTAGGGCTGAGCTCACCCACCAGTCCTCACCCTGCCGCAGGGAGTGGGCGGCCGGCCTGTCCTTTACCAAGTGGTGGCCCAGCATGTCTATTCCGCCCAGAGGCCCGAGGATCTGGCCTTGCAGCCGGGAGACACCGTGGACGTCCTGTGCGAAGGTAGAGCCTGCGCTGCCCGGCCCGGGGGTGCCCGATGGGGAGTCTGCGCACAGACGCAGTGACACGCTGACGCCCACAGTGGACCAGGCGTGGCTGGAGGGCCACTGTGATGGCCGCATCGGCATCTTCCCCAAGAGCTTCGCCGGCCCGGCTGCGCAGCACGCCTGAGGAGCTCGGCGGAGGAGGCCAGGGCGGGGAGGGTTTAATAAAGGCCTCTGCCTCCCATGTGTGACCTGTCTCTGGGCTTGACCGCTGAGAGGGCCTGACCAGGCTTCCAGGGGTGTGGGTGGGCTGCTCAGGAGAACCCCATGGAACTGGACACCAGCTCTGCTGGAGACCCCACGGCCCACGGCCAACCCTTCCCAAACAGCCGGCCCACCCCAGGCCCGAGCCGGCCCTACACACGTCAGTCTGCCGTCAATAGTCCAGGTGCCGCATGGGTCCTGACAGCCTGGCTTCTGTGCAGAGGCTCCCGGGAGATAGGCCGGGGTGTTGGGAGCCAGCGGCTGTGGTCGGGACCTCCGCAGCCTCCATGGCCAGGGCGACCCCAGGGGCAGAAGGAGGTCGTCTGACGGCTGGCCGGAGCCCCCAGGATGAGGGCCGAGGCTCCTGATGGGCACAGGCCGGCCCAGGTGGCCAGGCTGGGCGCTGGGTCTCAGCGGTCGGCATCAGGGGCTGCTGGCCTAGTCCTGGAGCCAGAAGACGTGCACCGCCACGGCCCCCAGCGTGGCCACTAGTGTCAGCACCACGAAGACGACGCCGGCTGTCCAGATGCTAAAGCTCTGCGCCCACCCCTGTGCGGGCGCCTCGGCTGGGATCAGGTTGGTCAGGTTCAGCATGTAGCCCAGTGTCCAGCCGATGTCGGTGCCGCCAGCCTGCGGGCCACACCCCGGCCAGGGCTCCGGTCAGGGCCGAGGGCTTCGGCCCCGGGGCCCCACCCCTCCCTGGCCCCCCAGGCCCCCAGCTGTCACCTGCTGGCGGAACTCGAGGCCGCCCCAGGTCTCCTCGCTGAACCCGTAGCCCTCGACCAGGAGTGTGAGGATGTACAGGCCCGAGGCACAGTAGTCCCGCAACCAGCGGTCCTGGCCCGGGGGCGCGCTCGCCTCCACCTGGGGGCCAGGAGCTCAGTGAGCCCCTCTCCCAGCACACATACACACACCCCCCCACCGCCCCGGGCAGGTCCCGCTCAGAGGCGCCTCCGCCGCCCTTGGTGAGCCCGGGGCCCAGGTTGGGGAAGGCAGCCCAGGCCCACCCACCAGCTTCCAGGGCTGCAGGCAGAACTCCCAGATGGTGGCGTTGGCCTCACTCAGTGTTGGCCTGGAGGTGAGGTTCAGGTAGTGGAAGGTATAGTAGAAGTTGGAGAAAGCCTGTAGGGAGCGGCGATGTGCCCTTGTGGGTGGTGCCCAGGGGCCCAGGGCAAGCCGGGCTCAGCCCTAAACCTCCCCACCTGGGGTCCCAGGCTCCCCAAGGGCGCCGGGAGTCGGGACCCTCAGCCTCTGGGAGGAAGCTGGGCCCCGGGGGCAGACGGGGGTGGGGGGCTCACGTAGAACTGGCCCTGCACGGGGGGCTGGTAGACCCCGGCGAAGGCACAGTCTGCTCGGCCGTCACAGCTGGAGAAGTTGAAGAGCTTCCGCAGGGCCTCGACGCAGGCCCCGGGGCTCCCCGTGCCCTCCACGGTGAGGTTCTGGCTGAGGCCCGGGGGCGCTGCTGCCGGGGTGCAGGGCGACTCGTACAGGGCCGCCAGGGCCACTGAGTCCCGATAGCCGCTGTGGTAGCAGGGGTGGCGGAGCAGGAGGCCCGGGCTGGCCTGCGGGAGGACGGGGCCGCTCGGAGCCCGGCCGGGCCAGCCCCTGCCCGCCCCCCGGCTGCAAGCCCACCTGCAGCAGCTCGACCAGGAGGCCCGGGCTGGCCTGTGGGAGGACGGGGCCGCTCGGAGCCCGGCCGGGCCAGCCCCTGCCCGCCCCCCCGGGTGCAAGCCCACCTGCAGCAGCTCGACCAGGAGCCTGCTCAGCGCCTGGTCGCGCCCGAAGCAGAGGTAGCTGTGGGTGTAGACAGTGTGGTCGGTGCCGTAGAGGCGGAAGGTGGCCTGGGTGGTCTTGTCCAGGATGGGACCTCCGGGTACAAAGGTAATCTGGGTGGAGGCCCCACCCATGTCCAGGGCGCCCACCAGCGTCTCCTCCAGGGGCTGGATCCATTCTCCAGAGAAGGAGTACTGGGCACAGACAGGGGCCCTGAGTCCTGGGCGCAGCCGCAGGGCCCGCCCCTCCTCCCCACGCACCTGCCCCCCTCCCGCCCCGCCCTGGGGCCGCCTGTGGCACCTTCACCAGCAGGCCCAGGACATAGTTGACGGTGATCCAACCAAAGGCGCCTTCGTCCTGCCCCGTCAGGAGCTCCGCGCCCCGGAAGTCCGCCGGGGACTGGCTCAGGGCCCGGCTGACCGCGGCGAAGACGTCCTCTGCCTGCGAGCGATTCTTGCGGCTGCGCAGGGAGGGTGGGGCGGAGTTGGCGGGAGCCGCCCCTGCTCACTGAGCCGGGTGGCGCCTCAGCCCCCGGGGCGCCTGGACCCCACGCAAGCCCCTCACCTGAGCAGCCGCATGCCGGCAGTGGCCCCCAGGAACATGGGTGTCTCATGATGCTTGGCCTTTGGGATCAGTGCTAGCGCCTCCTCCAGGCAGCCCTGCAGGCTCTCGCCGACCCGCGCAGGGTCGGAGGCGTAGGAAGAGATTCCAGGCCCTGGAACACAGCACCCAGGGTGAGGCCCCAGGCTGAGCAGGCCTGAGGGAGGTGGAAAAGTCGCCGTGCACGGACAAGGCCCCGTCCTCACCCTCGGAGTCTGCAAAGGGGACTATGTGTGTGAAAAGGTCTCTGCAGGTGTAATTAGTTAGGGGTCTGAAGACGAAGACCTGGCTTCCCTGGGTGGGCCCTAACCGCGATGACCAGTGTCCTTACAAGAGACAGAGGGGGACTGGAGGCACACGGGGAGAGGCCCGGGAAGGCCCATGCCGGAGCCCCGGCCCGGCACCCACTGGCCAGCTGGGCCTCTTGGGTGGCTCCCTGGAGCTCGCTGAGCCCTTTTCCTTCAGGCCGATTCGCTGCTGCCTGGCTCCAGCCTGCACCACCGCTGCCCACAGCCCCGTCCCGCTGAGAGCCCAGTCGGCGCTGCCAGCCCCGCCCACTGCTGGCAGACCGGCCACTGACCTTCCGCCTGGCAGGCCAGGGCCTGGCTGACCACGCCCGTGTCGTTCTCCTTGTTGGCCGGCCACTGATACACAAAGAGGGATGTGTGGGACGACCCGGCGTCGAACACGATCCCGAACTGGGGGTGACACTGGGGTCAGGAGGGCGTGGGGCAGGCACAGCCCATCCCAGCTTCCCGGGAGGGCCCAGGGGCGCACCTTGGTGTCTGGGGGCAGGAGGACGTTGATGGTCCCCACCAGGATGAGAAGGAGCGCGGTGAGGCCTGAGACCGCTGCAGCACCCAGCAGAGCCGTGAAGACCCGCTGCTTCCAGGTCAGCCCCATGGTGGGGGCGGGACTGGCACCTGTGGGGCTGCGGAGGGCACCCCGACTCCGCTGGCTGGAGCGCCCCTCGTCCTCCCTGGGGCTCAGGCGGCCCACTCCTGCTGGTCAACGGGCAGGGCCAAGGACCACGCTGCACAGCCGGGGTGCCCCCCAACCCCGTGCGTGGCATCAGCAGGCTGCAGGGCCCAGGCGCGTGGATACCCGGTCTGGTAAGCGAGCTGGCCACATACAGCGCGGGGGGGCGCTGGGGTCACGCTGGGGGCCCGAGAGCCACCCCCTCCCTCCACCCCCAGGATCCCGGCCCCTCCCATCCCCGACCGGGCAGGACTCCCAGCTCCACACTGAACTCCCAGGACCCCACCTCTCCCACCCACCGGGCTCCTCCCTGCGGCCCCACCCCAGGCCTCTCCCAGGGTGTCTTCTGAAAGCCCTGGGGTCAGGCCTGAACCCGGTGGGGACAGGACACTGCCTGGCCATCATGTTGCCAAGCTGCCAGCGTGGAGCCAGGTGAACGAGATCAGGAGGGTCCCGGGAAGTGCGGTGTCTCTCCCAAAGGCCCGAGGAGCTCTGAACTGAGGCACCTGGTTTCTGTTTAAAAGCCCAGCCTCGTGCCTCTCTGATCTGATTCTGACATTTTTCCGCGGCCCTACGACTGACCCTCGGCCGTGGGCCCAAGGCTCAGAGAGGGCGGGTGACCTGCCTCTGTCCCCAAGCCGCAGGCCACGTCAGGGACAGGCAGGAGCCAGGGACACCAGGACCCCACCCCACACCACCTCCAGGGCGTGCAGTGCCCCGAGCCCCGGGGGTGGGCAGGAGCTGGGTGGAAGCCCCCAGAGCCCCAGCGCCCCTCACCTGGGCTGTCGATGAGCAGCAGGAGGCCGCGAGGAGGGAGCTGGACCATCTGCCAGCTCTCGGCACCTGCCCGGCGATCTCTGCCTGCCGCCGCCCCACCCCCTGTCACCGCCCCCCCCCCAGCCTGCTTACCGCTGGGCCCTGCCCCCACCCAGGGTCACCACCCCGCCCCCGCCCAGAGGGGTCCCTCCAGGGAGCTGCTCAGACTTTGCCCTCTGACCCCGCCCTTCCCCAGCACTGGACGGCGCCAGGACTGGGCGAAGGGCAGGTCGGAGTCAGGTGACTGCAAAGGGCTGAGGCCCAGGACTCAACCCCAGCAAAGGCCGGAAGGCAGGAGGGGAGGGTCAGGCTGTTCCCCAGACCCCTTTTCTGAGCACACCTGTCAGTTTGTGTAACCACAGCCGCCCGGCCCTGCCCCCACCTCTCGGCTCCCCTTGCCGATGTTTTGTCCTTGCGAGGGAGTCAGAGACAACCGAAGCCTGGCTTCTTCCCTCAGCTCCCCGGGGCCCGCGAGGAGGCTGCCCCAGTGAGCTGAAATCCCGGCGCTGGAGGCCACGGTCTCCCGCTCCCCAGCTGCGAGGCGCGGCTGTGGGCAAGCACACGCAGGCTGCACTGCACGCCTGGAAACTGACTGCTCGGTTCCCCTCAGAACTGCCCACGGGCCCCAGGGGACGTGGGTTTGATCCCTGGTCAGGGAACTGAGGTTCCACATGCCACCGGGCAGCTAAGTCCACGAGCCGCAAGTAGAGTCTGTGCGCCGAAACTGAAGATCCCGCGAGTGGCAACAGAGACCCAACGCAGCCGAACAAACGAACAAAAACAGATTTTAAGGCCCTGCCCAGATGCTCTCTAGCGTGAGAGCTAGTTTCTCCGCGCCCTTCTAGCATCCGTGTCACAGCTTTTCCTCTCAGCCGGTCTGATGTGTACTCAGGCCGCCTGCGGCTTCCGTTCACACGGGGGCTGGGGACCCCACATCCGCATCTGCACACGTGACCCTCTCTGGCGAAGTGTCACGTCTTTTAACTGGACCATTTGATTTCTTCCTGTTGAGTTTAGGGAATTCTTTATATATTCTAGGTGCAGCTCCTTCTGTACGAGGTTTGCAAATACCTTCTCTCAGTCTGTAATTTGTCTTAGCTGTGTATTTCACAGAGCAATTTTTAACTTCTTGATGCAATCAAATTTATCAGTGTGTTCTTTTGTGGATGGTCTTTTTGTGTTGTTACCAAGAACTCTTTGCCTAACCCCGGTCATGAAGATTTCTTTCTCCTTAAGTCTCCTAGTCTCATGATGTGACTTGATCTATGAGCCATTCTGAATTATTCTCTGTAAGAGGTGTGACTTCATCACATCCACCTCTTCTGCACGTGGATGACAGAGGCACTGGCACCATCCTTTCCAAAGAAGATGTGGTACATCCATGCATTTATATACCCAATAGAGTAGTACTCAGCATCCAAAAAGAATGAATGATGCCACCTGCAGCACCATGGATGGACCTACAGGCAAAGACAAACACCGTACGCTGCCACTTACATGTGGAACCTAAAATACGATACAAGTCAACCTGTGGGACAGAAACAAACCTGTGGGTGCCACGCGGGGAGGGAGAGTAGGGAGGGGAGGGCCGGGGGTTGGGGTCAGTAGACGCAGACTCTCGTCTACAGGACGGAGAAACAAGGTCCCCCTGTGCACCCCAGGGAGCTATATTCAGCATCCCGTGATAAGCCAGATGGAAAAGAATGTGAACAAGATTGTACATGTGTTTAACTGAGTCACGCGCTGAGTTACAAAATGTAAACAACAGTGAGTGAAGTGAAAGTCGCTCAGTCGTGTCTGACTCTTTGCGACCCCAGGGACTGTAGAGTCCATGGAATTCTCCAGGCCAGAATACTGGAGTGGGTGGCCTATCCCTTCTCCAGGGGATCTTCCTGACCCAGGAATCGAACCGGGGTCTCCTGCATTGCAGGCGGATTCTTTACCAACTGAGCTACCAGGGTAAACATAACATAGAGTAGTACTCAGCATCAGAAACAATGAAACACCATAAACAACAATACTTCAATAAAATTTAGGAAAACCATCCTTTCTCTGTGAGCCCCTCTGCACCTCCGTATAAACGGCCATGTGGCGAGGGCCCGTTTCCCCACTGTCTTGTCCCTGGTGCTGTCTCGATTACACAGCCACAGAGTTAATGCTGTGCGGGGTATGAGTCCTCCAGCTTCAATCTTCTTTTCCAAAATAGTTTCAGCTATCCTAGTTCCTGCATGCTTACTCGCTCAGCTGTGCGCGACTCTTCGAAACCCTAGGGACTGTAGCCCACCAAGATCCTCTGTCCATGGGACTTTTCAGGCAGGAATACTCGAGTGGGTTGCCATCTCCTCCTCCAAGGTACCGTCCCAACCCAAGGATCGCACCCTCATCTCCTGGGCTTCCTGCATTCCAGTGGGGTTTTTACCTGCTGAGCTATCAGGGAAGCCCCTCTTTTGGAGGTAGTAGGATGGAAATAAACATTCTACATGCTTGAAAGAAGAAACATGTAGTTCCTATGCCCTTCCATGTAAATTTTATAGTCAGCCCTTCATTAAGTACAAAAAAATCTGAAAGTCTTATTGGTGTTATGTCAAAAATCTATGATCACTTTGTGGAAAATTGGTATCTTTACAATTTTGGGCCTCCCAATCCTCGAGCACAATTTATCTTCTATTTAGGGTTTAGGTCTTAAAATTCCTTCTCATCAGCATTTTTCTAGTGTTCAGAATACCAATCCAGCATACATTTTGTTGCATCTACACCAAAGTGTTCCATCTTTGTGGGGAACCTTTGTAAACGGCACCTTTTAAAATTCAGTTTTGAATTGTTTATCAGCGGTAGGTAGATGCAGTTGGCTTTGCGGTCCACCTCGCATCCACCACCTTGCCAAGCCCACCTCCTCGTCACAGGGGTCTGTAGCTCCCTGGGACAGGGCAGTCATGGAAATAGGACAGCGGCGCCCCCCCCTCTGTGCATGTCTCTTCCTGCCCTTGCTCGCCCGGGCGCTGGCCAAGACGCCGCTGTGTGGAGGGGGGAGCCTCGTTCCCAGCCTGAAGCGCCTGAGGCACGGCGTTAGTTGCAGGTGTCTCCTTTGCTGGTTTTCGTCACGGATGAGTTCTGTGTTTCAGCATGTGCTTGTCTTCATCCATTAGTACATTTGTGTGATTTTTCCTCATTGAACGTGGTGTGGTGGGTTGCGTTGCTTCTCTTGAATACTGAACCAGGATAAAGTTCACTTGATTGCAGTGCACTATTTTCTTTCCATATTACTGGATTTTGTTTGCTAATACAGTCAGGTCTTGTTATTTGTGGATTTTGTACTTGCAATTTTGCCTACCAACCTCAAAATTGCTTTTGTAATCCCCTTAGTGGGCATTTGTGGGCACGAGTGGAGCAGCAAATCCATGAGTGAGTTGACCCGCCCGTCCTCAGCTGAGGTTCAACAAGGCGACACTGCCTTCTTGTTGCAGCTTGCGCTGTAAACAAGTGTCCTTTTCACGCTCAGCTTCAAGCCATCTGTTTGTCCTTGTGTGCTTTCGGGAATCTGAGCCTGTATTTCCCCCGGGAGCCGTGGTTCGGTGTCGGCTGACTTGGGGCTTGCAGTGACTCCACAGAAAAGAAGGATAAAAGCATCTGGAGAATTTCTGCGGCTGTGTTCACAGTGCTGGGCTGATGCTGGATGGGTTGGGAAGTTTCCTCCCCCCGTCACCTCCTGGAAGGGATTTCTAGTCTTCCTTCTTTAAATGTTTTGTGTAATTGCCAGTGAAACCATCTGAGACTTGCTTTTTCAGAAGATATTTAATTGCAGACTCAATTTCTTTAGTGGTGATAAGGCTATTCAAGCTATCCAGTTCATGCTGAGTGAGTTTTGGTAGTTTGTGGCTTTTGAGGACTTGATCCATGTCACTCCAGTTATTGACTTTGTGTCAACAAAATTATCCAGAGCCTTGCTCTCCTATCTGCTTGTCATGTTTGTAGTGACAGACCTCTTTCATTCCTGATACTGTCTTTGGGCCTGCAATTTTTTTTTTTTTTTTTTTTTTTTTTGCTGTTGCTGTTGCTAGAGGTCTATCGATTTTTTTGTTTCACAATTTTTTTCTTTTTTTGGTTTCCAA